TTTTGGATAATACTGCTCTTTTAGTAGCACTTGATTTAATTAAAAATGATTAGCTGTGCTGAATTAAATCCTTTTGTCTTCAGTCCAGTTACGCCGAGTCATGTTTACAGATAAGTCTTAACAATTCTATTTTAATGGGCTCCTTTTGTTCAGGAAATATGTTTGATCTTTAGCATTTATTCTCATATCTGAGGATTGAAAATAAAGACTTAAGTGTCACGAAATACAAAGAAGACATGATCTAAAGCTCATCGAATTTTTCAATTAAATTCTATTTAAAAAGCTCCAAATCACAACAAACATCTCTCAGGACTTTAAAGACACAATCCAATTGTAGTTAATCAATAACTGACTTTTTGTTGTTAAACAGCCGGCGTTATTGACCACGGTTACCTGGAGGGAGGATTTAGGGACTTATTTCTTCCTCTGAAACCTCCATCTGAGCACAGACCGAGTTAAAAGGCTAAACCTGAGCCCCCATTCTCTGCTCCTACATGTTTTACCCTGTTCACAACTAAAGCTCCTCAGATTGGAATGATGTCACCATTTCAGGAGCCAATCAGAGCTGCTGACACTTGCAGGAGTCTTTAGTGGTTAAAGGCCAAAGACTTAATGATCTTCATCAGAAACCTTAATTAAGATCCAAACAGCCACGTGGGCTCAGGAGGAGCTTTGAGACATTTTCTCTCCAGTCCACCTCTACATCCAGAAATGTGCCCTGAAGCTGTTTTCCCCCAGGAGGAACCAACATTTCAACTCTGAGCTCCTCTCAGATGCACAGAGAGACGATGGACACGTGTTCTGTGGTCAGACGGGTCCACGTTTCAGCTGTTTCTCCCAAAGGGAAAGCGAGTAACACGAGGAGGAGGAGGAGGAGGAGGATCAGACCTTTAAAACCACAGAAGCCTTGGATTCAGTCAGAACAGACCCTCTGCTTGTATCCTCAGTTTAAAAATGTCACAAATGATCCCCAGATGTGGATATTCGTGTTTTAGGTGAAAATCTCAGGAGTTTTCAGAGGTCACGACTGCCTTAAATGCTTTCAGAGGGATCGGAAACCTGGCCAAAGTAGGCCGAAGTGTGTTGGGGACTGGGAGGGTAAAGCTGCATATCCACATACTCTGTAATCTAAAATAATAATGTAAAATCACAGCTCGCACAGAAGTAAACACATGACTCGGAGAAATCAAAGGCTCCTCGTGTTTATCTTTTCGCTCTTCTAGCAGGATTTAAAATGTAGACCAGCGACTAATTTCCCAAGGTCTGGGAGATATAAATATTTCACTTATAAATATTTATACCAGCTATGCAGCATTGGATTCGCCTAGAGAAATCCATTAGTCAGTGATCTGAGCCAGGTCTGAAAGTCGCCTCTAAAGCATGATGTGATAAAGTTGGAGATGGCATTCCTGCGCTGTCTGGGTCCCCGTAGATCGGCAGAGAGGGAATCCATTACGTTTTTCTCTTTTTAGGAAAGGATTTATAGCTGTATTATTAAGGAGGATAATGAGTAACCACGCTATCAATCAGATTAGAAGTTTAACAAGGAATTAAAGTAAAGGTGGACCAATTTAGGTTTTATGTTCTTTCATTTTTCTAATTTCCATTCCAATATGAACTCATATCAGGTAACAACTGAGTAAACTAGTGGTAAACAATAGCTGAGTCACTAATTACTCACCTAAAAACGTTCATCATGAGAACTCTGTCACCGGCAATCTGGACGCTTGTTTTTCCTGAAAGCTGAGGCAGAAACACAGAGATGCTGCATCTCCCCTCTCAGGAAACATGCTTTGGTGTGTGAATGTGAAGAATGGGGATGAAAGACGGCTGTAATTGGTGAGAAGTGAGCAGTGCGGAGTGATGGGGCGGATAAGGAGGAAGCCATTTGTTCCGACGCCAACGTTAAAGTCAAGCTAATTAATTTCTCTCAAGTCGTGCTTTGTTGTCAGCAGCCTCTGGCTTTGATAAGGAATTGAACTTGTTCAGGTTCTTGCTGCTATTTCCATTCTTGATGAGGCTAAATTTGTTGTTTTTCTCCACCAATTACTTATTTAATGGCACTTCTAAAATGATCATGTACACAGAGGATTGTCATTTTTTCTACTTTCATTATTGTTAATTTAAGTCCCAACTCACATGGAAATTAATCCATTTTTGATGAAATGAGTGTTTCCATACTGGCTGGGATAAACTAGTTCAGGGAATGAAGGGAAGTGGTTCATTTTCCTCTGAATATTTTAAGAGTAGAAAGGAACCGATGACCACTGGTCTCTAAAAGTGAAAATATTCAGTTCCGTTCCTCTTCATCTGCTCAAGATACTTTTTTTAAGACTAACTCTTCTTCCTTTGTTCTCAAACGTTTTAAGGACTCACTGCTCACCAGACTGAGATATGCCAGCAGCTCTTTTGGGAATCTTTATAAATTGTTTCCTGTCCATCAACCTGTGTTTTCTTTGGCATTTTGCACACATCAGCTACAGAACTGCTCCTTTGCTGATCTTAAACTGGTGCATCCACTGAGTTAGAGGTCCTTTTTATTGGTGTTAAGACTCAAAATGAGTGAAAAAGAACCCATGAAAGCAGTAAACCTATGGATTAAGATGTCCTGTACAGATTTAGAAAATGTCTGTCAAAACAAAGATCTGAGGGGAAACTAAATGCTGCAGCACTGCAGCGATCAATTACTAATTACCTATTTAGCGTCTTCTTTTTCTGTGGAAAAGTTCAGAGGGTCGTGGTAATGGAAGTCTACCTGCTGCGTAATATCCTCAGTTACTCCTCTGATCATCATCCATAAATAGAGGATATCTTTCTCAGCTGAAGATCTTATTTCAGGGCTGCTGTGAAACTTCTTCCTCGACAAAGCATGACACTTGGTGGTAAATTATGGGCACGTCATAGTCAGCGTGGTGTCTTCCTATCATTATCCTCCAAATGTCACACGGGGGAACAGTAACAATGGGGAGCCCAGCCGGGTCAAGCCTTTTTCTGCTTTAGAGGGAGGCCGGAGGAGTCAGGAGTCTGGTGTTTTTACCTTCTGCACGCTCACCTTTAACTCATTGGCTGCCAAAGACGTTTATAGACGTCTTTTATGTTTTTCGACAAGAGTGGCTTAGGGGACGATCTGCTAAAGCTTGTCCATAAATATCAGGCTTCTAGACAGAGTATGTAGTAACAAATTGACCCTCTAGGTGGCAGTGCCACTTTTGATGGGAGATGAGCATAGACTGTAGGCAAATAAGAAAAAGGTAACGGTTCGCTACGAGAGAACATGTCGCCGGTGAGACGCAAGTCCAGGAAGAACGGAATAAGGTAGAAACAATTTTTTTTTCCTGATGAAAGAAGAGAGTCTACTCTTTCTTTTGGTGTGTCCGGTGTTTACATAGTCATAGCACAAACTATTCTGCGGCTCTTGAAAAACCAGTCAAAATGCTCAAAAAACTCTGGCAGTCAATGAGTTAATCTTTAATTAGTTTTCCCTAACAGGATGACTCAGACGCATTTTCCTCCCAGTTCTTAGCCTCCGACCCTTACTCTGAACGAGCGCCTGGTTTTCTCCTGTAACGACTTCCTGCTGATGCTCTGACCTTCCCGCCTTGCTGGAGAAACCCAACACCTGTGCACCGGGAGGCCGGGAACAGCTGGGGGGGGGGCTTATCTGTTGGTGATCCTCTGACCGACTCCACTCATTGATTTCAATCTTTCCGCTCACACTGACCTTGAATATTGCGTTTCTCCCACACCTGTGTGGTTTTTCATTGTTTTGTGGAGAGTGACTTGGTCAGAGGCTACGGTTGTTTTCAACTCGATACCGATACTCAGGAAAATATTCGATACTCGATACCATTTTCAATACCACAATGATAAAAACAAAGACCCCAAAATTTAAGAAAATGTATGAATTTTGACAGGTTAGTGTGTTTCGTTTCAAACTTGCCTATTACTGATGTTATGGTGGCCCACATTAATGACCCTAACCCTAACCCTCCACCCTTCATAAATGTGAGAAATAAATATTTTTAGGTGAACGTTGTTTAGACTTATTGTACAAACCTATTTAACATCCACTATTTGAACATAATATTATGTATAGAGTTTAATTTGTTGTTTGCAAGATTAATTTCACTATTTTTAAACGAATGTCTATATTTCCATGAAGCAATTAGGATTTTCTTGCCTGGGATCTTCCTATTGGTGACCTAATCAAAATGGCCGACTTGGATGTGGGGGAGTTGGATATCCATCCTTGGCTTCCTGCAGTCTGCAGCCAGACGGACTTGATTAATGTTGGCGTGTTATTATTAGCCGTTAGCCGCAGCTAGCAATTCAAGGCTAACGTCACGTTAATGATCATAAACAACGTAAATAAATAAATCAGATAGAAGGGGGGCAGAGAGGGTGGTATCGATACTTTTGAAAATGAGTATCGTATCCGGATACAACGTTTTAGTATCGATACTTTTTTGAGTATCGATACTTTTGACAACCCTAGTAGAAGGTCAAAGTGGAGAAAATGGACTCTTTGGAGGAGTTTGGGTCATTCCCAGCGTGGAGCTCAGCCAGTTTGCGCATAGTTTCAAACTATCCAACTTCCCTCATGAGACAAACTAAGGATCATCAAACTCGTTTTAATTCCTTTCTGTGGGGGGATTTAAACACAGATCTCCACCTTCTGTCAGTTAGGAAAACAGGGCTTTCCATTTGCTGGCTGAATCGTATTTATGCTGAATGAGAACGCTCACAGTTGCTGTTCTCACTGTAAAACACTTCACACTCAGAAGAGGTTTTGTACGGGGTGAGGAAAATGTGCTGAAGTGAACAGTAAATTTCCATATCAAAAGCGTGATATGTATTCCTGGTGCTGTTTCCCTTGATGTGGACACATTCGAACAAACACCTCCTCCTCCAGAAGGATTAAACCTCTACGTCTCTGGCTCCGTGTTTATTTAAAAAAGGCTTGTCGGATCAGTATATTGATTGTGGTTTTCTGTTCCCAGGAGTATCAGATCGATATCATCTTTGCCCAGACCTGGACGGACACCCGGCTGCGCTACAATAGCAGCAGCATGCGCCTGCTAACCCTCAACAGGTACAACAGGATTTAGCGAGATGTCCTACAAACATATGTAGGGATCGGGGTAAATAAATACCCATCTGTAGATAATTAGTGTCTTTTTGTTCTTAAATGAACGGAAAACCCAACTGCCTGCTGTATCTTTGTCTCCCCACCGCAGCCTCTATTGTTTTCCAACATTTTCATACCATGAATATCTCATTAGAGAGCAATATTCCTCCCTCTCTCTCTCAGGAAGAGGCCTGTAATTAATGGAACAAATTGATTGATTTGCTTTGTTTTTTTCCTAACTCACTGGGGTATTTTATTATCCTCTGATTGGAAGGGGAGAATCCCTGTGCACAGCAATGATTTCTTACCTCCTTCTCTTTTCTTCTTTCTGTTTTCTTCCTTAAAAACCAGCAACATGGTTGGTCTGATCTGGCTGCCTGACACCATCTTTAGGAACTCCAAAAACGCAGATTCGCACTGGATAACGACGCCCAATCAGCTGCTTCGCATCTGGAACAACGGAAAAATACTTTACACTCTGAGGTAAAACAGGAAACAAACAGAAAGCAGCCTGGCTTGTTATGATTTAAACAAAAATGTATAGAATAATAATTTCCTCCTGCAAAACTCAAGAGATTTGTTGCTTCTTTATTGTAGAAATGAAAGAAAAACCTGATTCGTCTGATATAAAAGTCCAGTCTTTAGGTTTTCAGATGGTAACTATGGGTCTAAAAACCCGTCATTTCTCTGTGTTGTATCGCTGGATTTTGTGGTTTATAGGTATTTTTTACAGGTCAGGGACCTCTGTATATAACATTAAGACAAGTGAGACAATTTCCACAAGCCTTTAAGCAAAAACTGGGCTTTCCTATACTTTAAGAGCTATTTTTAAACATTTAACTTGTGTTAACAAAGTTTCCTCCCAGCAAAAACGATGGTGCTGTCTGCATAACATTTGCATTTTGGACATTTTAACCCAAATAATGTAAGAGGAGCCTAAAGCTGAGCCTTGAGGGACCCCGCCACCGAAGGCCAAAATGCTCTACTTAAGCTTAATGAGTCAACGAGGCCACAGCAGAACCTGACAGCCAAGGCTTTGAAATATCTGTCATTAAAGTATCAGGCCATTTAAAACTGCTTTATTGTGTTTTATCTGCGTGTTTAGCAGAAGAAATCATACAAACCTAAAACGTAAATTTAATTTTTAGCTCTGGAGAAATGCTGTCTTTTAGAGAGGCTGCAGCTAGACCCGGGACATGTTTGAGGAGAATATTCTTCATATTTTATTCTCATTCAGGCATGCAAACACGACAATAACATGAAGAAATGCTTTGAAAGTTGGTTGCTCAAAGAATAGAAATCCTAAAAAATACATGAGTGCCTGAAGCAGCCGCACTCAGACAGATGAAACGTTCTGAAGGCAGATGGGAATGTTTAGGTTTTTGCCACTTTCTTACAGTTTAATAAACGTAGGACGAATACAGGTTGACCATTTTATGCATTTGTGGTCTCTTAAAATCTGAAAACGATAAAATGAATAATTTTGAGCTGAAATCTGCACAACTCAGTAAGAGGGGGACTTTTTATCCTAAACCTTTACTCAGATCAGGAAGAAACTAAATACTCTTTTCTGGCCAGTAGTACAGATTAAATCCGATCAGCATTTGATTTTATCAACTATCAAGTTCTGAGATTAGGTGTTCCTTTGCCTCCGGAATGAGTTTTACCTCTTTATTTTTTAGGATTTTGAGATAATCCTTGACCAAACAGGGTGAGCCTGTGCTGCATGAATGAATGCATCCTGAATTTAACATTGTTTTAGCCAATTATATTTATGCTCTCCTTAAAAAAAATCTGCCTTATTTTTGAGTTTCTCCCAATTCCTTTTAAATAAACTCAGAGGAGTAAGCTTCTGTGTTAAGGAACTGACCAAAAATCCTCTAATTGTCTGAGATCTAACCTGTGATTGTGGGGAATAATTTGAGACGTTACGGAGGTTAATCACTCTGTGATCAGGCGCTTTTGAACTGAGCTATAAATACACTTGTTATCAGCAGGGTTCAGTGTTAATCTTTCCTTTTCCTTTTTACTGAACAATGGAGCATGCAGAGATTTTTATGAGAAACCGAAGGGGTCACCCACAGAGCGCACTGTTTCATCTCTTTAGTCAACCAGTTCCAACCAATCCAAACCCTTTATTTAGCAGCTCCTTTCTCAATCCATCTAAATATGAAAAAAGATAGGAAAATCCTAATGTCAGGTTGATTTAGTCTTAATTTCAGGGTCCTGTGTTGTTGTTAAATGATGATAGGTTCTTTTTACTTTTTCAGCCGTCTACATAGTTCTGAACACTTATAAAAACAAGCAAAGAAGGAAACTTAGATATAAATTGATATTAGGGTGTAATTTAAGGAGGAAAGATGATTCTCCTCTAAAATCAATGTAAAAGATAAAAAGAACCATAAAAGTTAGTTTTACTATCTAATTTGATTCCTAATGTGCATCTCTGTGATGAAATTTGAGAAATTATTGCTTCATTAAAGGCATATTAAGCCTGAGAGAGGACAACGTTTGGGAGCTTTTCCTTAACATCCAAATTTGGTCTCATAATTATTATTACTCAGAAACACATGAAGGACAAAAAGGCAATAATCTCCTCCTCATAACTCTTATTATATCCGGAGAAAGTAAATCTTTGGGATACTGGGACAGCTTGGAGAACAAAATGAACCATATTTGGCAGAGAAAACTAATCCCTGTTGTCTTTGTGATCACTTGAGCTTTGCAGAAACATCTGGTGTGTGGACTTGTCCGGTGATCATAGCAAAGTAAGCCTGAATTTAGGCTTCAGAGGCGGGTGGTGGGCCTGGGGGCCCTGACCCAGCTTATCTAACGCTGATGATGAAACACTTCTGTCATTTTGACGGATTTCACACACCAGCCGTCCAATCGAGTGTGATCCCGAACCATCTGCTTTGAAGCCGAGGCTTCACGTCCTGATGCAGAAAGCAAAAAGCTGCTGAGTCCAGGGCACTCACAGAATGAGAAGCTGAAGGTCTGGGCGTGTTTTCTCCTCCATCTTTGTCTGAGCTTGTCCGTCCCTTCCTGCTCCAGGATGACGATCAACGCCGAGTGCCAGCTGCAGCTCCATAATTTCCCCATGGACGAGCACTCCTGTCCTCTGGTCTTCTCCAGCTGTGAGTACTGCTACCGACATGCCCTGGAAACACTCAAAAATGCAGAAGATTTCAACAGCAAACCTCACAAACGTCCAGGTTTCATGAGTCTAAATCTGCTTTGTTTCCCCCTGGGAAACTAAGATGGTTAATAAGTCCAGCTCCCCTGGTCTGCTGGACCTGGGCTGGACAGTGTAGTCATTTTAGGTTTTAAAACCTCAAAGATCATGTGGTCCTCACCAGGTAAGTCCACATTAATCCACAGGTTTTAGAACCACGTTTATGATCAAATCACCGGTGTAGTTACAACATTTAACAACTAAATCCACAGTTATGTGTTATGAGTGGGATCAGGAGGGACAGGTCCCACTCAATTTAGCCGGAATTGGTGTTTTAAATAATTTGGTAAGTAACTTTGGGCAATCTGAACACGCAAACATGAATATTTTACAGATTTTAACCTGCAGCCTCACAGATGTGAGCATTTCCTGGTCAAAAAGGTTGCTTAAGTACGTGCACGGAACAGATTGGGACTTTTTTCGTTTGCATTTGAACAGCTTATGAACACATTTCTCTGAATTTTAGTCTTTAAACTTAAAAAAAAAGTTTTAGTTCTTTCAATCAGAGACTTATGAGCTCATTTATTTCCACAGTAAAACATCTTTAGCGATTTGGTTGGTGTACTCGTATTAAAATCAAAATGTCTCAGCTCTCCCATTGCACTTAAATGCAGCATGTATGCATGAACTCTGCCGAGCCTGAGACGGGAAAAGAGTTGAAGGCCTTTGTAACAGGAAATTATCACGTCTATGAGGTTGGAGGTGAAATATCAGAGAAGAGATGTTTATTTTTATTTAGCTCAGATTGCCCAAAGTTTGGTTTTACACTCAAGGTTTCTCTAAATTGAGTTGATTTGTCTCTCTCTGGTGGGGGTCTTTGCTTATCTGGGGAGCTCTGAGGGGCTCAGGCATCAGTACTTTGACCTTTGGGCTGGTGGAATCAGAACCGGAGGTGTTCAGCTCTTTGCTCAGACAAGCCAGCGTCCAGGGATCTCAAATTTCCTTCTCCAACTGAACGCACCATTGGCAGACATTTAGAGAACATATTCCATCTATTACCTGCAGAACAGCGGCCCTTGGCGAGCAGTGTGAGGCCCCTGGACTGTGGTGAGCTCCATTTCCTCTGAGGTCCACCATTTTGTTTCCACTAGCATGCTAGTAGCCCACAGAGCTAAACGGCGAGCTCTGGGAACGCCACCGTTCATCCACATCAGCATAAACCTGGGTGAGAAGCTGAGCTTCAGCAGAAAAAGGCGGCCATTTTCCGATACCAGGCCGGGGCCACCTGCCGAGAAAGGGCAAAAAGAGTTAATCATATATTTCATGGAGGGAATTATCAAACTATTCCTGCGAGAATAACAGCTTGAAAATGCCTGATTTCTGAGAAACCGAGTATTTTTCATAATCTGACACAAAATGCCCACTTTTTCACTGATTATCAAGGCCCTGTTCAGCAGAGTTTGATGTTAGTGAAAGAGCTATCGACCATAAATAGGCCTCCATTATGTCCTTTTTCCAGTTGTCATAAATGGACTCTTGTATGTGTGTAGCTGAGGGACGCATAGCTCTGAATTACAGCCTTCGTGTTTTTATCCGTTTCCTGGAGGAGAATACAGCCCGAACCCTGATGCTGTGATAAAAAGGATTTGATGTATTTAATCTAAAAAAGAGAAAGCGTTTGTGTTATTTTATTTTTTTAACCTCTCCCTGTGTGCGTCGTTTGGTCAACAAGGTTTAATGAAGCCTCAGAGCGGAACGCTGTTCTTAAAAATAAACATCTGTTCCACGTATGCCTGCTTGAAACTAGCCTAACGCTCATATTTATGGCAGCAGAAAACACGTGCACGTATGAGTCAACAGCAGAGCTGCTCTCCACATTTCCATTTGTCTCTGATAAGCTCTTAAGAGCCTTCACAGGAGCCATTTCCATCCATCTTAACGGGAAAGACGGCAAACTAACTGAGCAGCAAGTGTCATTTTTTTTTTGTTTTTTTTTGCATTGTCGCTGTCATTTGTGCATCAGTGTGCTGCCAGCCCACAAATGGCAGACATGGATCCCACAGCAGATGGTGGGAGGCTGAGGAGGAGGAGAGAGTGAGTTCACTACCACGACATCTGATAATGAAGCCACAATTAGCCCTCACTTACGGCCGCTATTTAAACATATAATTCTTCATTAGGGGCTGTAAAATCCACATATCTCTTCTAGCAGTCAAGACATTGTGCTAAGACTCCTATGGAAACTAATGTGGAAGGTTACTGAAATGCTCCGTCTCTCCATAATGAATCAAATCTCAGGCTTCCCCATTACAGTGCCATTTAATTTAATTTATTCACACAGAGCATTACAAACTAGTAGCTCTGTTGATGGCCTTGCTCATGAAATGAGAATTTCTCCTTCCAGATGCTTTCCAAACAGATATAATTCAAGCAATCTGCATCTTTGACTAAGCACCCTTCATATTCAGTATGTTGGAGTATTTTATCCAAAAAAGGAAAATATGAGCGATAAACCCCAGAATTAGAGAACATGCAGGAAAACTAAGCTAAACTGTCATCTTGTTAGACTAAAATCTTCGGCCAGTTCAGTTTGATGTGTCGACTGAGGAATGATGAAGATGGTTCACAGAGAAAAAGTCCAACAATTCTTGAAATCATTTCTGCAACGACATCCAAAGCACTTCCTGGCAGGAGGAGCATGTAATCCCTCTAATCCCTCCAGAGTGTCTGGAAAACCTCTAAACACAGCAGCATCCACCCAAACTCCCTTTAACCACGGCCTCTTCCGGTGTGTCTCAATAAGATTTGTGGCCAAAGCTGAAGGTAGAAGAGAAGATGGACCAGTCCAGTCCTGCTCAGCCGAAGCTCATTAGGAAACCAACAGAGCCACATCATCCACTTAAAGCCCAGATGTAACCCTGAGTTACATCTAACTCCCAAACCAGGCACCCTCGTTACCACGACGACATCTTCCCATCCCATAACTAAACCAGGACCAATGGGCAGGCTTGGAGAGGTCCACACTTGGACCACAGCTCTCTTTGGTGACATTCAAAAGCTTATTCTACGTTTAAAAAAACACTGTAGATTAATTGGTCCAACTCCCTCCATTCCCTCTGAGGGCAAAAACGATTCGGCTCCCCCTGAAGTCTCCATCAACACCCTGGGATGAACTCTCTCAGGCCGGCTGGAAGTTATCAGCTTAAAGGTAAAACTTTTGTCAAAGTTGTGTTTTGGAGAGAGGGAGGGATTGGCTTAACTCTGACCTTTAAAAGGAGATTGATGCTTTACCTCCTGATTATACTCACTCATGCTCTTCTAATTAGCTCGCCCCGTTTGTGGTTAAGAGTTCAGATTTAATCCCTTCTGCGATTATTCTTTTTTAATAATTTCACATGCGTGTTTCTCAACATCCTAACTCCAACACCATCAATGAGCTCATATCAAATCAAGAAGAACAGACACTCGGCTTAAATATACCACCAAGGACTTATTCAGTACGACCGTCCACCACAGACTCACCGGAACATCACAGATTTACACCTCAAGCCCCCTAAATGTTTGCTGCTAAAAATAAAGCCAAACTGATTCAGACAGAAAAAACGAGAGGTTTCCAATAGTGTACGATACACTATGATTATTATACGTTGGGAAGCAAAGGTCAAACAACGAGTGATTTGTTTTATAGAACAACAAATAGTCGTACCGTGTATAGTGGTGCAGCTCTGGAGGAATCCAGGGTGCAGAGCAGGAACAAAATGGAGGGAGATCAGGAAGTTATGAGGAGCTCTGACAGCTCTAACTCTGTGGCGGACAGAGCCTGCAGACAGAGTGGAAACAGGACAGGAGGAGGGTCACAGAGCTGCTCACCAACAGCTGGAATCCTGCACACGTCTTACCAGATGTGAGGTTAAACTGTTACAAAAACAATCCCCCAAACACACTGATGGAGACCTCTGGAGGTTCCCCTCACACCCAAACCGTTCAGCAGCTGATTTCCATTTAGTTTTGCTATCTTACTGTAACATATCTAACTGGTGCCACAGCAAAATGACTCCTGAAACATCATCTCAGTTTCTACATCTGAGCTGTGAAGCTGCAACATTTCGGACATGTGAACACACTTCTGATGAGAATGGGCTGGTTGGACCAAACCAGTGCCATTAAATATTAGAGCAATCTGCAGCCGGAGAGCTGAAACTCCCCGCAGGCGTTGGTGAGGAGTGCCATCAGAAGCTGACGCCCAACATTAAACTGTCAGGGCCCCCGTGGAGGCTCCCCCTGAATACTCACACCACCCTCATGCAGAAACCCAATCCTGATTGCTGCAGAAAAGGGGCTTGTAATAACACAAACACCTCACAAAAAACCCACATTTCTCATTTAACTGCAATTGTTTACAGGGGAAGAAAGACCCCCTGTTCTCTTTGGCGATTAAGCAGGCAGAATATTAGTCAAGGCCTCAGAAGGATGCAATTTATAACATCATGAAAGAACATGTTGCTTCAGGGGGCTTTTTAAAAGTATGAAACACTTTGTAGCTACGCGGAAATCCTGGTAACACAAAGCTGAGGCTGTCTGCTGCAAAGATAATTGTACAAACACAACAAGAGAAATATGATGGCAATAACGTTTGCCAGCCATATTAATGTAAAAAAAAAAAAGAAAACCTCTTTTGCATCATGGTGATTTCTCCTCTCGGTTATAGATGGCTATCGTCTGAATGAGTGCATTTGCATAATTAGTCGAGTTGCCACTGCGGGGCAAATCTGAGACCGCCACTCGCTCATTACTGCCGTCACTCACTTCTCCTGTAGTATTGCTTTAACTTGTCAAATTAACTCAGCTTTGTGTTCAGCGTGGAGACAGTGCTGGGTGATGCACAATATTTCACACACATTTTAATATCTGAAACATTTTTTGACATTCATATTTTGGATTTGTGTGTCACAGCGTGCAGCTCAGATTTAAAAGACAAGCCTAAAACAAAACAAAAAGTTGGGACGCTGTCAACGGAATACAGATTTTGTCATTTTAAACCCTTAATTTATTCACAATTGAACATTGGAAAAACACGAGCTCACCTTTAATCTGAAGAAAGCTGGAAAAAGTGGCAACTAAAAGCTGGACATCTGAAAAGAAACAGAGCATTTTAACCTAAAATGATATGGAAAAAAGAGAACCTTAATGCTGTTACAAGGCTTCATCAGAGCTGAAACATGGCTACAGGTTTTAGAGCAACATCATCGTCCTCAGCCGAGGCCTCCATATTGCAGTAGGACAATGTTTAAGCCGCGAGGCTTCACGGGAGAAGAAAACAGACGTTTTACCACCTGAAAGGCCTAAAGGTGGAACCATGAAGACAGGAGTGGCAAAGCAATCCTCTCCAGATGTTACCAGGCTGAGGGGACTCCCAGATTTATAAACTCAAAACAACCTTCTGATTTATTCATTTAAAAAAAATTATGAATCTGAAACCCCTTAAAGTCAAGCTGAAAATGTTATTTGTCTTAACCCTTTAAAGCCTGATCCAAGAAGAAAACAAAACAGAAAATGACTTTTATTTGGTTTGAATTCCTTATTTGGCCTTTTAACAAAATATGTAAAAAGAAAAAACGTATTTATAACTATGCGATAAGTCAAGATTGTTTTTTGTGTAGTCTTCTGCCCCCTGTTATCAGGTATATCTGATTGTGTACAATAGGATTTTGAGCAAAGTTTTTACCATTAAATTATGCAAAAGGTGTCAGACGCAAAACATTTCAGACACCGTATGTATCAGATATGATACATTTGGCATTACAGGGTTAAAACTGAAGAAAATCTTTATCTTTCAAACAGGTTTGAGTTGTTTGTTGGTTTAAAACTCAGATTTGGCCATTTCAGTATTTTACTCTGACTGGAAGCAGATCCGGATTCTCCTCCAAGCTCTGAATAAATGTTTCTCTGAACGTTGTTATTTGCTGTAGCTGTGATTGTGCAGTTGGTCTGCAGTCCGCTGGATATCCTGTGAAAACCTACAGACTGAATCTGAATAAATCATGTACACAACAAAAACTGCACTCCTGCATGAATCCTTCCTGCCTTCAGCTCTCGTTTCTCCTCCTTTTCTCCCCCCCTTTGGTCTCCAGACGGATACCCCCGGGACGAGATCGTGTACAAGTGGAAGCGAAACTCGGTGGAGACTTCGGATCAGAAGTACTGGAGGCTTTACCAGTTCGACTTCATGGGGCTCCGCAACACAACCGACGTGCTCACGACCACAGCAGGTAACAAAAACACCTCCAAAACCCAGCGGAAAAAGGTCACCTCTCCTCTCAGAGCTGCTAAACGCTGCGTTTCACGTCTGGATAAGCTTTTCCCAGCATGCCGAGCATTTAGCGTCTCTACGTGCCTCTCTACTCTTCTAAACAGAAACTCAAACAAAAACTCCTGCTAGCCATTAAGACCAAGAATTTTGGTTTTGTGTAGAGGTCCAACAACAACAAAAACAAAAGTTTAAAAAAAAGGAAAAAATAACATGTTTACTGTTGTGTAATATTTACCTAGCTCCATTTTTGTAGATTTTTTCTTTTCTTGATTTGGAGTCAAGGCAGATCTTTGAAAGATGTCAGCATTGAATGCAAAAGGATATAAATGTTTTATTTTTTTGGTTCCTCCAGGTGCACTTGTGAACAAGATAATCTATTGAAACTTAAGGTTGTTCACAAAAATATGTACATTGTTGTATATCAGAATCAGAATCAGAATTAGGTTTATTGCCAAGTAGGTTTATCACCTACAAGGAATTTTATTTGGTGTTTGGTGCACAGCACACCAAAACATTTGCTTGTGGAAAAGAATGAGGTTTGTTAGATTCGGGGGCTTATTTGAAGCGCCCCCCCCGCAGCTGCCCATGAGCTCCATCCCACACATGTAATCATATCACCACAATCTCACAGCTCATAAGTATTCCCCTCAGGTGGAAGGGCAAATAGGTTTTTTCTCTGACATTAATCACCGGGATTAAAGATTAAAAAGGAAGCTTAATTATTCACTTCTCTTTCCGAGCCGCTGTTTGGGAGAACGGGTCGGAGCTCGGATTTGCCGGACAGGTTTCCGACCCGTTTGAAGCCTAAAAACAGGAGCCGTCGGCTAAAAAAGTGATATGGCATAATTAGAGGAGGAGCCGGGCTGAAGCACAGTGATTGTTAACCCCTTTTAACCTTGTTTGTGAGTTGAATATTCGCATTAATTCATGCCATCCAGCCTTTGTCTTTGGAGAGAACGACTCCGATCTGCATAATGTGACCTGATTCAGCTTTCCAACAGCTGAACCTCTGGTCATGAATATTCCAGGAACAGGGGCCTGATTAGGACGGGGATAACAGGGAGTGGCAGAAAATTATTAAAAAGCTCTGAGGAAATTAGCCGAACGTCTCTTTTTAAACCCAAAACAGCTCCTTGTTGTTGTTTACGCACCGATAAAGGACATCCTGTTCATGTTCTGATCTCAGAGGAGAAGGTGACTGATGGGCGCTCTCATCCTGGGGCCGGTTTATAAATTATACGTTTTCCTGAACCCCCGCTGGATCCTCCTAACGCAGCCAAACTCATTTTCTGCTGAGATGCTCAAAACTAACTGCCACAAAACCTCCACATCTACCTCACGCTGTTCAAGAAAATTGGCCGCGTTCTCACTTATTACTTTGTTTCTGCTTCCTGGTTCACACACATGATGATGAGACACTCGGATAGAAATAACTTTCATTAATTTACAACCACAAAAAACAAAAAAAACTTATCTTCCTATGCCTGATTTTGCTTTTAAAACGCGGTTTCAGGACTTTGGTCTCTTAAAAGGCCCTGAAGTAGAATCCCAAACGTTCCCATTTTAAAGCCATTGTGCCTTTTTTCTGCTGATCCTTCTGAGAAACGCTCATGGAAACGGAAACAATGAGCATTTCCGACCTGGAAAAAAGGTTAATTACTTTGTCAAATCCCCTGCTTCCCGGTCCATGTCGGGCAAACGCATTTTCAATTCGATGCAGAGTCACGAAAGCCTTCGAGGTCTCAGCTGGAAATCAGGAAACAAATGATTGCTGAATCAAAACTTCATGAAACCGTTTCTGATGGAGGTTTCTGGTCCTGCTCTGCTCTGTTCTGAATGTGTTCAGGAGGTGAAACCTGGACCAATAGATGAGGTTTAACTCTATTACTAATTATATTAAGCATGCACGTTTCCCCTTGAGACGGTTTTTGAAACATTAAAATTAGATTTTTTTGTTTTATTCCGAAATATGAGTTTTTTAACAGGTTACCAAACCTTTTTCATCTTTACTTCTGAGTCTTTGCCTCTCTAAGGTGCTCTTTTTCTACCCATCATGTTACTCCAGTTTTTTTCCTTTTCCAGCCTCTTTTGATAGACTTTGCAGTTATTTAAAAGATTTTAATGACAAAATATGTCACTTTAAACTGTTTCTCAGTTCAATTGTGAATAGAATGATCATTTTAATCCATTCAGTTAGGTTTTTATTTACATTTTATGCAGCGTGTTTGCTAAAATGAACTGAACTGAGGAGGAGGGCTTCACGTTTAAACACACTTTTAACCAACATATAGATTCATTAAAGCCCGGTTAGATGTTTTTTCTTTAAAAACATGGCTCACCACATGGAGTCAGAAAGGGGCAGCTATGCTCTGATTACACTCACCAAGTTTCTAAACAGGCTTGTTTTAAAAGATGGGCTGTTTTTAGGTCTTTGGCGAGTTCACGTGGAGTTTGTGTTGCTTCCTGTTGTGGGTTTAATTCAGAGGGATTAGTCAGTGGTGCGGCGGTGTGCTGCAGGCTTCAGTGGGATGTTTTAAACATGGTTATCTCCAACTCTGGGCCTCTGTGGGGCAGACGGGCCGTAATGTTGTTGACAGAGATCTCAGCGGGTCGCCTGTTTAGCCGAGGTAAATAAATGAAGAGGCTCTGAGAAGACAGGCTCTGCTCGTTTCTCTAATTTAACTGGTGACTTGTTGGAGCAGCTCTGCTTTCGAGGAGTTTTTTTTATTTCTTCTCTGGTGGTTTTTGTTTAGGAATATTCTCTAAAATGCCCTCTGCCTGGTCTGGCGTAGTTAAGGTGTTGGACTCTAACTCCAGCTGACATTTCAGAGCAAATGGAGACGGTCGGCAGATAATTAGGCAGAAAACATTCCTCTGCTTGTCCTGGAATAATGGTGGGTTTTAATAACTGCATCTAAAGGGGAAAGGATGACATTGATGTGCTTAGGGTGGATCAGGCCAGAGCTAACATATAAGAGCCTTCTTTCCATAAAGCCGTGAGCAATGACAGCGTTTAGTATTTAAGGATGGCATCTTTTTGATTTTGATTAAAAGCTCATCTACTAATAAATATAATCAGAAAAACTCACCTATGATGAGGCAGAGCAGCTCTTCAAATGGCATTTAATTAATTCCTGATGCTCTGCAATGACAGCAAGCACAAAATAATTTAATGGTAATTCATAATTTAAATAGTAAATATCTCAATTTTGATTAATAATACATCATATAAATAAATCATTTCATGATTGCTTTTGAATAAATCTGCATCTACCTTTTCTAAATAGATTTAAATACATTTTAATATTCAAATGTAAGCTCATCCTGTTTTATCTTCATAAAAACACAGCAGGTGGGAATTTAAAAATCTTTTAACCACACAAAGAGCAAACTGAAAGCAAAGATTTGTTTCTAGCTAATGAGTTCCTGTAAGACAGTTCTCCTTTCCCCTGTTAATCATATTTGACTTCTTACTCTCTTTTCCTCACTTTGCACACCTGCCGGTTCATTTGATGCAGATTAGAGGGAATTACACCCAAAACCTCCACAGAGAAACGCTGCTCTGATGTCTGACATGGCTCTGACGGCTTTCTGTGAATCCTCTCACAACAGCAGGTCTAAAAATGGCCTTAATTAATCAAATGGGTTCAGGTTTGTTTTCGCTTTTATCCGAAGTGACTCCCGACTAAAGACCACCTCAGAAGGAAATACAGTCGTTTTCTGCTGATACTCTCCAGATTACGGCCTCTTTTCTAACTCCTCTTTGGTCTCCACAGGCGACTACGTGGTGATGACGGTTTACTTTGACCTCAGCAGAAGGATGGGCTACTTCACCATCCAGACCTACATCCCCTGCATCCTGACTGTGGTCCTCTCCTGGGTCTCCTTCTGGATTAAAAGCGACGCCACGCCGGCGAGGACAGCTCTAGGTATGAAGGCGCCTTTGTGTAGGAACCCTCCCAAAGCTCCTCTCTGGATGTTCTCTGTCCGATGATCCCACTCTGCTTCATAATGTGGATCCGTCCCTCAATCAGAGCTACTGGGGTTCAGTCCACTTCTGGTTCCTCTGGTTCCTCCTGTTTCCTCCCTTCAGAGTGGTTTCTTGAGCCTTTCTGATGAGGCTCTTTGGGATTGTTACATTAGATTTCACTATTTGGAGCAGAAGTTAATCCTTTTTCTAAGCAGAGCTCAACATGTTTCTGTGTTCTGTCATAAATATCAGTGTTTCTTCAGTGTTTCCTGTTTTGTTTAGTTTCTGCATGATTTTACAGTCGTTTTGAATTGTTTTCCTCTCCACTGCATGCCGCCCTTTAGTTCTTTTGCTTTCCTGTGGATGAGGATGTTGTACAAAGTGCTGATTGTGACAGAATTCAAGGTAAGTTTTTCATGATTTCATCACCCATTTATCCCATCCTGTGTTTCTCTGTTTAATTTAAGTTCCTTCTTTGATGCCCTTCTGTCAGATGTTTTACTCCCAGTTTCAGTATTTCCTAAATGTAAGCTAACCCCACCATGGTGACGAATCGCTTTCAGTTCTGGGCTTTTGACTCTGAGCCGTCAGAATCCTCTTAAAAATTTATGGCAGCCATCTTGAAAGCCGCCATGTTGGTTTTTCCAATATGGAAGGTGTTCATGTATCACATCAAGACCAGAATTTCCTCAGAAATCGATCAGATTTAAAATATCTCTTGTGATTCAAAATTTAAAAACAAAAAAGTTATTACAACAACGGGAACGTTGCACATCTGTGTGACTCCATGCTCTGCAGATTATTTTATGCTATATTATATATAAATATATAATAAAAACAAAAAAAAGGGGAAACTTTGAAGGTGCCTCTAAAGTTTTACAACCCAGTGTTAATGTTCCCGTTCGGCTGGAGTCAAACTCCACATTTCAGTCTGACTTATGGACCAACGGGACGCTTCATTTAGAAGTGACCCCGCTTCTCAGACTGGTGTAATTATGCTCCTGACACACTATTAACTCCACTCAGCTCTCTGACACAGGACTTATTCCATGTGATAACTCTCTCATTAACCTCCACCCAAAAGCCAGCCCCCCCTCACCAGCTCTGGCCTCCAGCCAGCCCCCACCACATCTGGAACACCTGCCCAGGAACAAAGGACCTAATATTGCTGCTCCCTCCATCAGTATTTGCCATCAAATCAGAAGAAAACCTCCACAGATGAATAGTCGAGCCGTCTCATATTGTACCGACTCCAATAATAAGTCCGAGTTATTACTGAAGGATGCGCCGGTCCGAAGGAGCCTTTCCTCTCATGCTTTAATAAAAGCTCATTATTCTAAGAAATGTGTTGGCTCAGATTGCCTTCACCTCTCAATCTGATGAAGCAGCTCACATAAAGGACGACACAAGCAGCCTGAAATACTTATTTTCTCAATTTTTACCGAAACCTGTCAAAGTCCTCAAGGTTGGTTTGTTCAGTCAGAGAAAAAAAGAGTTATTCTTTTACTGCCGACTGACTTCCACGCGGCTCGAAGTGGGCTGAGACATGATCCCCCAGCTGGGAGGGGATGGGGGGGAGGGGGGGAGGAAACACCAGGACAAAGTAAAGGCCTAGTACCAGCTGGGAGATGTCAGAACCGGGTGGCTGGATCAGAGAAGTTCAATTAGCCTCGGGGAGGCTAATGTGCCTCGACAATTCAATTCAATTCTATTCTATGTATATAGCGCCACATCACAACAACAGTTGTCTCACAGCGCTTTCCAAACAGAGCAGGTCAGACCCTACTCTGAAGTTAACTACAAAAACCCAACGATTCCCACCATGAGCAAGCACTAGGCGACACAGGCAAGGAAAAACTTCCTTTTAACAGGCAGAAACCTGGAGCAGAACCATGGCTCAGGGTGGGCGGCCATCTGCCTCGGCCGGTTGGGGGTGAGGGAAAGAGAGAGGCAGCCAATACAGCAACACGTAGACTAGATGAAAAATGGAAATGATATTAATACTAATGATGATGGTAGAAGTTATGACGGCAACAGAGCAGGAACACGGGGGCAGCAGGAAACTCCCAACCACAGATCCAGACCCCACAGCTCTAGGAACACCTGCAGGAGTGATAGGAGGAGACTCCCAACCAGAAAAAAGAGCCCAGAGCCGGTCGGGCGCCATTACGGCTCAATCTGTGCGGCTCCGATGGAGCCCGACACAAACAGGGAGGCTGATGATGGGAAACGGAGCGAACCCGAAGCGGCTTTGGTCCAACCGGGGCCTCAGAGGGTCGGATCAGATTCTCATATTCTTCACAAACTCGTATTTGTCGAGTTTAACTTCATATCTGTGCTAACACACATTCATTACAGCCGTTAGTCCAGTTGGGTTTTAATGAAAGAACATCCAGTTGCCCCCCACTTCTCCTCCTCCTTGGGCTTTATTCCTATTGCTGTCTTTTTGTAAGACAGCAATAGGAATAAAGCCCAAAGTAAATTCCTGTGTTTGAGGCAAAATGGTTCAGGTAGAAGCTTCTAACAAACATCTGTAAATTGCATCATATTCTGGGACCATTTAGAGATCCGAAAAGCTGCATGAACTCATCTCTGCTTTAGGAGAAAGGAGAAAAAAGAGATACTCATACAGATGTAAAGATTAGACCCCGTTATTAAGACATCTAGCAGACAAGGATAAAAATTGTGTTTTTCTTATTCGGGGGGAAGAGCCAAAATGCTCCATTTCAAGAGAAGGAAAGCAGGATGAAAAGATGATAGATGATGTGTTCATCTATCTCCGACCAGGAGGGTGGATTAGTCTGTATATTACAAAGCTCCCATGTATGAATTAGTCGAACTGCTGGAAGCGCCACAAATGGTTGTCTCTATAGCAACAAGTCTGAGGAGAAACAGCCTGTTTACAGGTGCTGCCACCATCCGAGTCCTCGAAAAGAGCGAAAGGGCCTCCGGCAGCAAATGTGACTAAAAACCTGAAGTTTGAAAGGAAAAAAAGAGATCTGTGGGGAGATGGGAGGAAGTGAGTGCAGCCCACTCCTCATCTGGGCTCAAAACTGCCTTCTTCTGCTGGCATTAAAATGAAATCTGTGGCTGCTCGGTTGGCGGGGAGGAAAACGATCTGTTTCTTTGTCTCTGCTAAATACCAGTTAGGTTCCCTCAGCATCGCCTGTTTGTTTGGACCCTTCAGAGTGATCCTCTACAGGCAGCAGGAGGCAAATACAGCTCGTAGGAGCAAGCATAATTCATGTGTTTCGTTTTAAAAAAGCCACCTAGTTCCTTTAAGGAGGAAGGAGGGGGGCGGATTGCATGATTGCACACAGCAAGTTCGACCCAGATACAACGGCTGATTTATTCACTCCTGAGTTCGGTTGGCTTAATAACACAATAACACCTCTTTGAAATGCTGTGTCTCCTCTGGCTGCGTTTCGGCAGCCCGAGGCTCCCTCTCCGCGGCCTCTGCCTGGTTCGGGGTTTGTTTACTTTGGCTGTGAACGATCAAAACTGATAAAGGGAAAAGAGACCTAACGGGGCAAACCCAACCGGCTGGGATTTGAGTCCCACAGATGGAGTGCAAACAGTTTTCCCACGTTGGAGTTTGGGGTCAGTGGAGCCCACTAAAGGTCTTCTGTGGGTCAGTTATTCCACCAGCCGCCTGCATAAATACCACTAGGGTTGTCACGGTAATAAAATGTTCAACTGGATACCGATACTCAGGAAAATATACGATACTCGATACCATTTTCGATACCACAAGGATAAAATTTAATTCAGTGTTTGCAATATTCATTTCACTATTTTTAAATTAATGTCTATATTGCCATGAAGCAATTAGGATTTTCTTGCCTGGGATCTTCCTATTGGTGACGTATTCAAAATGGCCGACTTGGATGTGGGGGAGTTTGATCTCCATCCTTGACTTCCTGCACACCTAATTAATGTTGGCGTGTTATTATTAGCCATTAGCCACAGCTAGCAATTCAAGGCTAATGTCACGTTAATGATCATAAAGAACGTAAATAAATCAATACTCTTGAAAATGAGTATCGTATCCGGATACAACGTTTTAGTACCGATACTTTTTTGAGGATCGATACTTTTGACAACCCTAAATACCACACGTACCAAACGGCCAGCTTCCTGCAACAGCTGCTTGTTTTGGGCCCCAAACCGAGCCCAGACCAGGAGGGAAGAACCCGTCGGTTCTCCGGACAGAACCAACAGACCCCCGGCTTCAGCCTGGAGCTCAGACCAGCTTTCAGCCAAAATGAGGCCAAACAAACGGCGTTGTGTCCCATTATTCTGCTCACCCGTCCATCCATCGCCTCTCTGTGGCTCTCTGTCACTGTCACTCATTTCCTGCTTTGCTCCCTTTGGAGAAACAAGAACCTGCCGGAGCCTGAACATTTGCCATTCGGAGCACTTCCATCTTATTCTGCCGTTTTCCTGCTGTCAGATGAGGAAAACCCTCCGACCAGTTTTCATTTTCCAAAATAAACAACCAAACACGTTCGGTTTGTTTGGCTCCAGCCTTTTAGGGTGTGGCCAACTTAGAAGAATAAACACTTAAAATGCTCTTTTCTTGGTGTGAGCCGTGATGTTCCTGCAGGTCTGGTCTGTCGTTGGACATTCAACATTGCACATTTCAATTGTTCATTTGTACGTTCAGATCCATATTTTTAAAGATTGTACTTTTTAGTTTTATAATTTCTTTTCTATAGTTTTATTTCTACATTGTATGTCCTTTCTTGCTTTTCATTGAAGTGTTGTGCACCAAACACCAAGACAAATTCCTTGTAAGTGAAAAACCTACTTGGCAATAAACCTTATTCTGATTCTGAAAAAGCTCTGAATCTGCAGAATCCAAAACAGGAAGTCGGCCCGAGGGTCACACGGCGTCCCAAAGGTTTCGGGGAGGTCTCAGACTCTCATCCACACAGAGACTCAAGCAGCCATCTGACCATTAGCTGAAACTCAGCTGAGTTAACTAATGAGAGTGGACTGGCTTCTGGCCGTTTAGTCCTGAGTGTCTCTTTTGTGCAAGCGGACTCCTGCAGGAACATCTGACTGATTACAGGCCGCGGGGCTCAGAGTCAGACCCCTGAAGAGAGGGGGAAACACTCCTAATCAGATTAGCCTCAAGTTGCCTTTGGTTAGAATTTTAGCCCCAATCACCAGCACATTAATGTGAAAACATGGGCGTGATTACCATAAACAAACACGGCTCCGGATGGAGCAGCAGCCTCCACCCTCTCGGCGTTTTCCTTTCCGTTTTCCTCCCAGCACAACAGATGGAAAGCATGCAGTTTTATTCCATCTCAGCTACTCGAACTGCGCCGTTTCAGTTCAACTTGTCAGAAAAATTTGGCTCAAATTCAGCGTTGCTGTGATCTTTCTAAAAAGTCTCAGATTCATTTTATCCGGTTTGGTGCGTCTCCCTCCATGTTTAGTTGTATTTCTGTCAACAAAACTTATTGTGGGAGATTCAACAACTGTAGTCTTCCTCTCCCGGGTTTTCAAAGAACTGTGTGGAAGATTTTTGTTTTTTGGGACAGTTTGAACTACTAATTAGGAGTGGATTTAGCTCTAATTGGTTAAAAAAGAAAATCAAAGCAGATAGAGAATACAGACATGAGAATAGAGAAAACTACTGAGATGAATCTATTAATCAAACAGTTCCTTATATATTCAGTTTTATTTTAAATTAATGTGTTAGCGTTTAATCTTTACTTCTGATTTGGGTCATCAAGGTGCAAAACAAATTCCAGTTTGAGCCTAAAAACGCCATCCAGGTGTCAGAAATAACGCAAGACATTCTCCCTCTCTTTTAAAAAACATTTTTAAAAGTAAGCCTTGAACATTTGAACTTTAACTTTGCTGTTATGGTTTAAAAAATTGACTTTTCATCCTGACAAGTCCTTTTCCAACCTGTCTGCCTCTTTAGGAATGGGCCCGGTTTGATTGGATAAGAATGAATTGGCTTGAATAATAAGAATATAGGGTTTTCGTTGTTTTGTTGATGATTAATAGATTTTTGGAAAATACTCCAGTGTATAAATGAAGAGCTTATTACAGATCTGGATCTGTAATTTACCAGTGTGCATCCACATCTGAAGCCTTCCACATTCAGCATGTTTCTAACGACCATAAAACTGCATCCGTTGTACAGCCGTCCAATCACAGAGAAGATTCACACATTTTCAACGCTGAACTATTTGGTTTTTGACCATCGTGTGGCGGTAACAACGGCCCTGAAGCCCTCAGGATTATTCATGGATTCTCCATGTTTTCCTCCTGGACTCAAAGGTCAGACTCTGACATTCGTGAGGCTCCTCTCTCACTAAAACTCCACCCTGCTGCAGAAACTCCGCCCCGGGCCCAGAGGTGGAGGACCCGGTCCCAGGACGGACCATGTGGACATCATGAATAATCGTGTTTTTAAGAATCTGTGTCAGATGTGGAGAATCTGCTGGTCCCTGTGTCTGTGATCACACTGATGGCACTGGGAGGAAGTCTGGCAGGTTTGCTGTGCATCCATATGCACTGGAGCTTTTCTCACTTCCCTTTTTTCTCAGACAGCAGCTGGTTGCCATGGCACCGAGCGGCAACAATTTCTCCAGAATGAATTCAACTGAGCAAAGACTGATGTGAAGCCAGCGAGGAGCTCTGAATAGCACAAAAAAGGACAAAAGTCCCCCCAAAAAAACGGAGAGATCACAGCTGCCCGTCTGGGGCTGGACACAAAAAAACCGGACCAAAGTGTGAGGAGCAAAGGGCCGTTCATTTACCTGGCTGGACCCGATGAGGGGGGAAAAGAGAGAAAGTCTAGACGAGCACTAGACGAGAAGAGGTGGCTGGAAATAGACGGGAGCAACTCGTCTCTATGGAAACCAGAGGCGAAAACAGTGGCACACACTGCCATGAAAGACATGTCAGGGAAGAGGATGAAAGAGAGCGAGAGAAGAGATGGAGGAGGGAAGGGACGGAGGGAACGGGGGGGCTGACGGGGGCCGTGTGTGTGTGTGTGTGTGTGTGTGTGTGTGTGTGTGTGTGTGGGGGGGGGTCTAAATACCAGCGCCCCCTTTGGGCCGTTCAGAGGAACTGACCACGTTACGTTTCCCCAAATGAGCTCAGCCTCCCCTCTACAAACCACAGGAGTCCTCTCTGCAACGATGGGGCTCCTGATTAAAAAGTTCTCTGCTTTAAAGCAGCCCCGGCGGGCTGCAGCGCCCCCTAGTGGCTAAAGCTGCTAGCTGCAGCTAACAAAACGGGGCTTCTGCCTCCAAAATATCCAAACGGAGCCCACGTCACAGCTACCTTACAGGCTGAAAATACCAGAAAAATGAAGATGAGTTTTCCACCTATAACAGAACCTGAAACCATTTTAAACGTCTATTCAGATACGTATGAACCTCCATCTTTAACCCTGTAATGCCAAATGTGTCATATTTGATACATACGGTTTCTGAAATGTTGCGTTTGACACCTTTTGCTTAATTTAATGGTAAAAACTTTGCTCAAAATCCTATTGTACACATTCAGATACACCTGATAACAGGGGGCAGACTACACAAAAAATAATCTTGACTTATCGCATAGTAATAAATTATTAATATCATTAATAGTCTGTTTTTTTCTTTTTACATATTTTGTTAAAAGGCCAAATAAAGACTTTAAACCAAAAAAAAGTAATTTTCTGTTTTGTTTTATTCTTGGATCAGGCTTTAAAGGGTTAAAAGAGAAATCTGTAGAGAACCAGTTTTACTAGCCAACAGATAAATATAACCCGTCTGTGTTATTTTTTGCATATTGGAGATCTTTCTCTCTAGTAGTAAGCACACTTAAGGCCACGCTGGCCTTCCAAATCCAAACGATTCCCCCTGAGCCCCCGACAGGAGCAGGTCTCTGGCCCAGATCAGAGCTATTGATCACGTCTAGTGGACAAACGGAGTCACTTCAGAGGACAGACACTCAAAAGTTTAACTCCACGCAGTTCATCCGGAGTTTGATTTGAGGTTTTTTTCCTGTTCATAAATGTTGCTCATAATATCAGGAAGGCAGGAAATGAACTTTTTGATGGCTCAGATTGCTCAAAACTTCAGAACTGATCCACATTTCCCTCTGAAGCAGCCTGATGCAGAGCTGGAGGGGGTCTGACAAATAATCATGCCTAAATAGCTGAAACCAAAATTAAGTTTGGTGTGAACACAGACAAACTTGGGATGTGTTGACACCTACAGACTGAACACTTGAGGCTGGATCATATCCAGAGAGCCAGTTTGATATAAAAAGAAAATCTTTTTTTCTGCAGGAAAATGCATTTTTGTGAGGGTTTTGGTTATTATTCAGGCTTCCTGTCATGATTTAATAATAATGCAGGTATAAACTGACTTATAAACTATTGTTGACTGATTAGTGTGGAAATGACTGCATTATTGTCAATTTGTTTTAAAAATAGAAGGACAATTGGTAAAATTCAATACGATGCTGATTACATAAAGCAAACAAACATTAGGGGGGAAAAAACGAGTGGATTTTGCTCATTTCAGCCAATCACTGAGCATTGTTTGCCCTCTTCCACATGGAGGCAAACGTCTGGCCTCATATTCAAAGATGCCGACTAATTACTGGAAGTCATTGTCTGAAACTCCTGCCTTTGTTTCAACAGCTGCTTATGATTGGTGCTAAACTGTTAAAGTGGAGAAAGTATTGACATTTGCAGGTATTATACAACTTCAGCTGCTTCAGAAAAACAGCTTTAAGATGCTGAACAGGTAGATTTTTCACTCATTTCAACACCAGATTGTCTAAAATGAAACAGGTCGCAGACATTTCTCTGGCCTGAGTCTCAGCTCGTTGGCGTCCTTAAAGGATCATATTATACCCTATTTCAACAAGTTAAGCTAGTTCCCTGGTGTCCTAATGTAATGTCTGTGACAAGCTTTGGTCAGAATCCCGTAAGGATGAAGCCCAATAGCAGTTCAGTCCCCCTGCCTAACCCTAACCCTAACCCTAACCCTAACCCAAAACAGCCCCGTTCAGAGCGCTCGCTTTGGAGTGCCTGTCTCTTTAAATGCAAATGAGACACAGGCAATCCACCCACTTCTTCAGGGAGGCGTGCCCACGTCGGCACGCTAACGCTACCATGCTAACGCTACCATGCTAACGCTCACGCTACCACGACGTCTCCACAGATAGGGGAGTGAGCTGAGGGGGGGGGGCAACATGCAGGTGAAAGGCTGCAATATTATAATGAGCTAGAGCTAATGACGTCAGAAACTACCCACTCCTGAAACCTCCTGATTTATCTCCTGGATTCAGACTGAGGCAGCCCACAAAAACATGACTGAGTCATTTTTTTCACACTTTGCCTGCTGATAGGCCCTCCACAGTCCCAAATGCACACAATCAAATGATTAAAAACTTGGTTTTGCATAATATGTCCCTTTTAACCCTTTCGTGTCCCTCTCCCCTGCAGGCATCACCACCGTGCTGACCATGACCACCCTGAGCACCGTAGCCAGGAACTCGCTCCCCAGAGTGTCCTACGTGACGGCCATGGACCTGTTCGTCACCGTCTGCTTCCTGTTCGTCTTCGCCGCCATGATCGAGTACGCCATGCTCAACTACTACTCCTACAGCATACGCAGGCCTCCGCCCAAGACCCGCAGGATGGTAAGCAGCTCCGGCTCCCATAACGGGAGGAGAAGCCGGATTAGCTTCATGCTAACGGAAGAAAACCAACATTTTTTTTTTTTTTATGAGTTTAACAGACGTTTTTATCCAAAGCGATTTATAAAGGTAGAACACATCCATGTGTATGTCCCCGTAGCGGGAATCGAACCCCTGTCTCCCAAGTGACAGGCAGGGACACTCACAGCTACACTAACCCCCACATCTCTGGGAACAGATCCTAAAGGTGAAGGAGCAGATAAACAGGCTGGTTTTATGCCTGGATCCGGCTCACTTCCTGCCCTCTTTATGAGCAAATGTGGGGCCAAAGCTCCGGCTCAAGCCGAGCCCCTTTCAGCCGGTCCGTCTGAAAGCTGAAGCGCCCTCTAGTTGCTAAAGCTGCTAGCTGCTGCTAACAAAACGGGGCTTCTGCCTCCAAACAACCCAAACTTACAGCTACAGAGAGAAGCTAATAAAATACCAAACGGATGAAGGAGTTTTCCACCTACAACAGAACCTGAAACCATTTTAAACGTCTATTCGGACTCGTATGAACCTCCATCTTTAAAAGAACATCTGTAGAGAACCAGTTTTACCAGCCAACAGATGTAACCCGTCTGTGGGGGCCGTTCTGTAAACGGTCAGCTGCTATTATCTGGAGCCAGTGGGGACCACTTTTTCTGCTTTGTGTTGCAGACCTACTCGTCGTTCAACTCGGGCCGAAACCCGCGTCCCATGATGCCGATGGGCAACTCGCTGTTCTGGCACGAGTACGACGACAGCTGCCTGTACGAGTGTCTGGACGGGAAGGACTGCCGCAGCTTCTTCTGCTGCTACGAGGAGTGCAAGCAGGGCGGCTGGAGGAGGGGCCGCGTCCACGTCAACATCCGCGAGCTGGACTCCTACTCCCGGGTCTTCTTCCCCACCTCCTTCCTGCTCTTCAACATCGTGTACTGGGTCAGCTACCTCTACCTCTAGTCCTGGAGTCCTGGAGTCCTGGAGGACTGAGCTGGACCCGGTCTGCGGGGGGGCGGCCCTCTCAGAGACAAAAGGGACGGGCTAAAGATAGTGGAGCACCCATAGTGCCTTCCCCAGAAAGGGTGCGCCCAGAGCCCCCCCCCCCCCCCCCCCCACCCCCCCCCCCCCGGCCCCCGGCGTGGTCGATACCTCAGCCGTCAGAGCTCTGCTCACCAACTCTGTTCCTTTGGTAGCACATTAGCTTTAGTTGGAGCCTCGGCTTTGCTCCCGTTTCCAGAATAGTGCTTTTCCTCCTCTTCTTCTTCTTCTTCTTAGATTAGTCGTGCTTAAAAAGGCGAGCCCGACGAGGACAGTCGGGCTTGCGATTCGTCCGGTAAAACCTTGTTTATGGAGTCAGTGAGTTTTTGTTGTCAACGCTTTTTTGATCAGGAAACGAGTTCACAGGAGAAGCCGAGGAGATTTGGGAGTTTTCCGTCGAACACAGGGTCACATCTCCAGCAGACTTCTGCACTGATCCCCCCCCACTCTCACAGATTTTCTTCATTTTTTAATATAATCTGGAGGCTTTAATGAAACGTTTGACATTCTGGGAAATTGACTTCACATTCTGATATGATTTCCTGATCCTTTGCTTGTCTCTGTGAGTCGGCTTGGTCCACTCCTAAGAAAAGCTTTTCTCAAACCTGATTCGTTAATCAGAAACTGTCCAAACAGGACCTAAAACAAATTTGCCATTTGAGACTTTACAGGACGAGACCTTAAGAGACTTTCTCAGCTTTTTCTTTAAAGAAAATGCAGCAGATTGACGACATGAGCAGCCAGTCGATCTTTAAACATCTGGAAAAGAAGGATCTGGAAATGGTTCCTCTGCAGATGTTGCCAACAAGAGGTTTCATGGTTTATTCTCAGAGTTCTTTCTAAAAGCAGGAAATCGATAGTTCCCAGTTTGTCTGTTTGATGGCAACAAACTAATTCTGGGGGAGAGCTTTAACCCTAAAATAGTCTTTGAGGGGAGGCCCATCGGAGGGGACTGAGATGCACAGCTGGAATAGCTCCACATTAAAGAAGGAAATATTAGCATCACAATGGACATCTTAAAGTTGTAAACCAGACTCCATTTTGACCTGAAATTACTTTAAACCGACTAATTTTCAGGTTCATTTCATTAAGAACATTAAGAACACCACAAATCCAAACCAAAGCCAAAAGGACAGTCAGACTTTAACCTGGAACGCAAAACACGTTGAGAAGAACCAACAAAACCTCCAATAATCCAACAGATCCATTATTTTGATTTCATCCCGACCCAGCCGGGGCTGATAGGCTCTTCCTGTTCGATAAGCAGTCGTTTCAGCAGAACCTACCGGAGCCCGATTATTTCCCAGATGTCAAACGACTCCTTCAAAGGTTCGACTGTCGCAGAAACACAGAAATCTGACAGAAAAGCAGCAAACTGGACCAGAC